ATGTAACCTTTGATAATCTTGCACAATTCACGAACATTCCAGAGGAGCATGTTACCAACTTGCGTGACATCTATCAGTGAGTTATCTACGAAAATAATCAACAGCTCGAGTGCCTAATCTGTCTGTTTATTTCTCTTTAGAAACGCTGAAGACATTGATTTGCTTGTTGGCGCTCTGCTGGAGGATCCCGCTGTGGGGGCTCTGTTTGGACCCACCATTACCTGTCTGCTGACCACGCAGTTTGAGCTGCTGAAGCAAACCGATCGCTTCTGGTATGAGAACGAGATCCCACCCTCATCTTTCACTCTTGAGCAGCTGAAGAGCATTCGTCAGACTACGCTCTCCGGTCTGCTCTGCGGCTCTCATCAGGTCAACACAGCTCAATCGAGGGCTTTCATACGCGAGGATAACTATCTGTAAGTGCAGCTGCATGCAGCTTCTTCAGCATGTGCACTTAACAAACTCTTTCTTTAATCTTCCTTAGAAACTCTGTTTTGGATTGTGATCAGCTGCCCAAATTCGATTTGCGCCCCTGGAAAGTAAATTCCGAGGAGGAAATACACTTGGAGCACGTCGAAGTGGAGCCCGACACTAAGGAAGCCATCAAAGAACTTAGTCCCGAACTCATTGAGGCGGCCGTTGAGCGCGCCAAGCAGGAACTGGAGGAGCGCAAGCGTTTCGAATACGAAGTGTGGCGTGCACGTAAGGAGAACCCGCTAATTTCAATTATTTGATTGCCTCACAACACCTACTATATTTTCCTTGCAGAGGGCGGCATTAGCGCTCGTTCACCCGACGGCACCGCTGCCTCCTTTAGCAAGGCCAATCTGGCTGCCCTAAGTCTGGCCAACTCATCTCTAATCTTCGAACTGGCCTCCAATGAGATCGTCAAATCGCTGAACAGCATTACGCGTCGCAAACGTCAAATCTTCAATCCCAACCAGAATGCCTTCAATCGCAACGAACTCACTGATACCCTGCAAACTGTGGACATTAGCGCTCTGATTGGTGGCAGTCAAACATCGTTGGATCATTGTCCGGAGCCAGCGCAGCAGTGTGATGCCAATACTCCATTCCGCACGCTCTCGGGACGTTGCAACAATTTACGTAACCCCAACTGGGGCAAGTCATTGACTACTTTCTCGCGTCTGCTGCCCGCTCAATACGAAGATGGCATTTCGGCACCCAGAATCACAGGCGTGTCAGGAGCTCCATTGCCCAATCCCCGTACCATCTCTACAACCATTCATCCGGATATCTCGAACCTTCACACTCGCTACTCGCTGATGGTGATGCAGTTTGCGCAGTTTGTGGATCACGATTTGACTCTGACACCTATTCATAAGGGTTTCCATGAATCTATACCCAGCTGCCGCTCCTGCAACTCTCGCCAGACCGTCCATCCGGAGTGCAATCCGTTCCCAGTGCCCGCTGGCGATTTCTTCTACCCCGAAGTGAATGTCACGAGCGGTGATCGTTTGTGCTTCCCCTCGATGAGATCGCTGCCCGGCCAGCAGTCGCTTGGACCTCGTGATCAAATCAATCAGAACACTCACTTCCTCGATGCTTCCATGGTGTACGGTGAGAATCTCTGTCTGGCCAATAAGCTGCGTGGCTTCTCCGGCCGTCTGAACAGCACAGTGCATCCCGTGCGTGGCAAGGAACTGTTGCCCATGAGTGCCACCCACCCCGAGTGCAAATCCCGCAACGGACTCTGCTTCATTGGAGGCGACGATCGCGCTTCTGAGCAGCCAGGCTTGACCTCTATTCATACCGCTTTCCTACGCGAGCACAATCGTCTGGTCGAGGGTCTGCGCGGTGTGAACCCCCACTGGAATGGTGAGCAGCTGTATCATCATGCCCGTCGCATTGTCAGTGCCCAGGTGCAACATACAGTTTTCAATGAATTCCTGCCCCGTATTCTCAGCTGGAACGCAGTGAATCTGTATGGCCTGAAGCTGCTGCCTCAAGGATATTACAAGGACTATAACCCATCCTGCAGTCCTATTGTCTTTAATGAGTTTGCCTCCGCCGCCTTCCGTATTGGTCACTCTCTGCTGCGTCCGCACATTCCACGCCTCAGCGTACAGCACCAGCCCGTGGATCCACCACTGCTGCTGCGTGATGGCTTTTTCCGCATGGACGTGTTGCTGCAGCCAGGCATTATCGATGAGATTCTGCGTGGTCTGGTGGCCACACCAATGGAAACGCTTGACCAGTTCATCACAGGCGAGGTGACGAATCATCTGTTTGAAGATCGCAAGATACCCTTCTCCGGCATTGATCTGATTGCTCTAAACATACAGCGTGGTAAGTTGATGACTTTCATTTCTCCTACACTGGCCACCTCTAACAGTTAGCTTTAATCTCTTGCAGCTCGTGATCATGGCATACCCTCGTACAACAACTATCGCGCTCTGTGCAACTTGAAGCGAGCCACTACGTGGAACGATCTGAGCCGCGAAATACCCACCGAAGTCATTAATCGTTTCCAGAAGATCTATGCTAGCGTTGATGACATTGATCTATTCCCTGGTGCTATGACCGAACGACCACTCCAAGGTGGCCTTGTCGGCCCAACGCTGGCCTGCATCATTGGCATTCAGTTCAGGCAGCTGCGTAAGTGCGATCGCTTCTGGTACGAGAACCATAATTCCGAGGTCAAGTTCTCTGAGGCTCAGCTGGCTGAGTTGCGCAAGGTAACGCTCGCCAAGATTATCTGTGAGAACCTAGAGATTCAAGGCGATATGCAGCGTGCCGCCTTTGACTTGCCCAGCAATTTCCTGTAAGTCCAATTCCAAGTACACATTTGATAGTCCATGCTAATCTCTATTTTGGCTACAGTAATCCTCGGGTGCCCTGTCAGTCCATGCCACAAATTGATTTGAATGCTTGGCGCGAGAATGTCCAAGGCTGCCAAATTGGCAACCGCAACGTGCGCGTAGGCGAGTCCGCCTTCCCATCACCCTGCACCAGCTGCGTCTGCTCCGCCGAAGGCGTAAGTCCTACATATACTAAATATAGCACTCTCTATATATACTAAATATCTCCCACTGTTCGATTACAGCCTCAGTGCGCATCGCTGCGCATCACCGACTGCGGCCAACTGATTCGCCAGTGGCCCAAAGACGCCATTCTGCGGGACGAGGTGTGCAATTCGCAGTGCGGCATCTATTTGACCGGGCAACAGGCGAGTGGCTTCACTGCCCAGCAACGTCAAGGCCACGCCCAGTCGCGAGTCACGCGTTCACGCAATCAGAACCTATTCAAGTTCCCCGACTTGACGCCGTTCATTGCCGCTCTCTAGGGAGGGGGCAACACGAGAAAGCAGGCTTTCGTACACGTTTTGTAAATAACTTTTACGTTCTTTACATGATTAGTTACTTATTTTGTTCGCTTACCTGAAGACTTTTTCAATGCAAATCTATACACCCTAAACAACGTACTCTAACTGTTCTATATACGACGGCAATATCTCGTATAAAAAATAAAAAAAACTAGGAACACAAAACCAACAAATTTAAAATTCTTGTTTCGGCACCACCAAAATGCGTGATTCTACGTTAGTTAAGCGACAACTAATTAATTAGCATTTTTRTATGTGTATGTATGTAATGTATTTTTTACCTAAACCCTATGAATGTCAATTATATGTACCTAATAATTAAATAAAATTAATTAAAACAAAATCCGATTCGGCTATTTTATTCCACTGGCAAGCGAAGCAGTTTGATTAAAAAAAAGTTACGAATTAAATTCAAACTAAAAAGGTAAAGTGTAAACAGCTGTATTAACAGGCGACCAGCGTTTGCAGTAGCTGTGCACTCACACACAGTTTCAGTTCACAATATAATTTGCGCGCACAACGGCTGTGAAGCGACAGCGAGAATAATCACAATATGTATACAGTCAAAGTAACGGGCGAGCAGCGCCCTTAGCGAGCTGACATGTTAAAAATAATGTACGGTGCAGCGGGTAAGCGACGCGTCGCCAGACTGTTTGGCGAGCCCGAGATGCGCAGGTAGCAAATCGCAATATGTAAACAGAAGAATTACCAGGCAAACAGAGCGTCAAGGCAGCGGCTACACACATGCATTTGTCGGGTGCTTCGTTGTTGTTGCTCGCAAACGAATTCTGGTTGGGGAATCGCCGGCGAAAGCAAGACGAAAGAATAAGCGAACAGAACGGGCAGCAAGCGACGCGCCTACTTGAGCAAGCGAGAATGGACAGAAGCAGAAAGCATGTGTTGTCAAAATACTTATGCCGTTATTAATGCTTGCTCTCGCTCACACTGCAGGGCAATCTGGCGTTCACTCATTCCCTCTCCTATGCGAATGTGCGCACATAAATGCAATTATCAAAATAAATATTTTGCATGTGTTTGGCTGTGTGCAGAGCAGAGCATAATTAAGCGCCGTTACATGAAGTTGGACTGAGAACTTACACTGGCGTCCATAAAAACTGGCATGGTTAGTCACTTGTTTGCGATTAGCGAACACTTTGTAATAGTTTAAATAATTGGTTTGCTTTATTTAGTTTTGCTCTTTGAACGTGGTTCCATTACAGCAAATATAATTTGTGTGTAGTTCAGATAAGATCTCTATAATGCCGACAATAAATAACAAAACTCACAAAGTACGATTAAATCTAAAGAGGGGTTTACTATGCATATACGTATGTATGTATGTATGTAGTTATTTAAATGTGCGTTAAACACGAACCGTTAGACGTGCTCTTTGCTTAACGCTCTTTCAAAACCGGAAATGAACAAAACTTTAAAGTTATTCAACTTTTGCCAGATTTGACATAGATACATACATATAGATATATAGGTGTATTTGTATATTATATATATTATTATCGCATATATTTATATATATTTAGTTAAATTACAATTATTTAAATTCGAATAGAGCGCATAGAGAAACAAAAATACATAGCGCTTAGCATTTGTATGTAGAATTATAATTTAGCTTTTCGTTTGTAATCATTAATATTATTATTTTTAAACATGTTTAAGCTGTTGTGCTACTTGTGCTAACCACAGATAATTCAACTAACTGCCGCAGTGCATATGACGAATAGGCATGCAAAATACAATACTTTTTCATGTGTTTTCACTGCTCTCTTGCAAGCAGCTATTAACTAATATGCCTTTGCTTCTCCTACTATATTTTTTTAATTTTTTTTTTTCATTTGTTTTTTTTTTTGGTATATTTTGTGCTTAAGTGTCTAGAGAATTTGACTTCTTTTCTTTATAGGTTTTATACCTTTCTCTACAGATATATTTATGTAGATATATATATAGATTAGCATATTTTTGAACTAAACTAAAATTGAAGTTTAACACACAGCATAGAGTGTCAATTATACATAATCATGAGTTTACATACTCGTATTTATAGTAATATATATACCGTATATATAGTATATTTTATTGTTTATAGGAATCTTGCTAATTTTAGTTTTTATGCTGTGTCACAATATTTGCCTATGCATATGGTATGTGTTCTTTTTTCTATTACTTGTATTATTATTATAATTATTATTATGTTTATATACTGTTGATCAAATGGGTTACGATTACAAGTTTTCTTTTTTCATATTTACAAAAAATGGACATGAGAAATGTGGCCTATGTACAATTAACATTTTTCAAATGACAGTCAAAAATTATTGGCTTTTCATTATTTATTTATCCGCTGCCAAAGCAGTTTTCGCTTGGTTATGGGTCTCCGAATGCCGACGCGTCAGCAACTGTTGCTGATGCTGTGGCTGGCTGAAGTTAGGGTATGCCAGACTGTGGCCATTGCTGTATGGGAGTCCATCGAGATGTCCAAGTTTGCCCACAATTTTTGGTATTTTATCACTGTCCGTGCCGAGGCCAATTAGGCAGGTGCCGCCAATGCTGGCGCTGCCGATTCCGCCGCCAATGATTAGCTGTTGCTGATGGCTGTGATGGAACTGATGATGGTGGCTATGCTGATGATGATGATGATGGTGTGAGTGATGCTGATGATGTGATTGATGATTGTGTTGATGGCTGATGGTCGGCGTGCTCTTGCATAGCGCCAGGTCTTTTTTGCTGCTCTGACCGCCGCCATTTAACTCCAGGGCTCCTTTCAGCGAGCTCGTCTTGCGCAGACAGACGTGCGTCTGATCGCAGCCCTTGCACCGCTGCTTGGCCGCCGCTGTGGCCGCCTTGCCTTGACTGAGTGCATTCAGATTGGCCGCAACCAGCTGAGCCTGCAACGTCTTGGATGGCGAAACGGGCGTGCTGTCCTCTTCCCCAGTGGGCGGCGGTGTGGAGAGCCGACTCGAGACTGTGGAGGAGCCGCTGGAGGATAGACAAACGCTGCTGCTGCTGCGTGCATAGCCATTCTTTGCCAGGGCAGCATCGTCATCATCATCATCATCATCAGCATCATCATTGTCGTCATCATGAACATCGTCAACAATATCATCATCCACATCACTGGTCGGGTTGCTGCTGGGACGAGAAGCGATGGCAATGTTGTTAGTAGTTGCGTTGCTTTTAGCCACATTCAGCCCATTTACGCTTGCTTCAGCCAGAGCTGCATCCGTATCCACATCTGCATCTGCATCTGCCATCTTCTCATCAGTTGACGCCTGCTTGCTGTCACCATTCGCTATCACAATTTGCTCCTCCTCCTGCTGCTGCTGCTGTTGATCCTGACTAGTTTTCGTTTTCACACCTTCGGCCAAATCAATCCAATGGCCGCGATTATCACGCACGCCCTCAACGAGTGGCTCCAGCTTATCTGAGAGTTTGGCAAAGGCCTAAAGAATGGAGAGAATAGAAAACATTTTTATAAGAACTATCTAGGTATTGTTTATACTTTTGTTTACCTCATAGATAGGCAGGCATATTGAGTCAATAAAGTTCACCTGCATCATGGGCAGCTCATCCTCCTTCTCGCGATTCATGATATCCTGTTGAAAATTTTAAGAAGAATTACATTAAAATATAGTTTATGTTCAACCTATATCTGCATGATTCTATTTCGTTTCATCTTAACCACTTACAATGGGTGTTATATTTAACTCCTGCTTCTCCATGTCGCCCTGCTCGAAGAACTCGGAGCTAACCAAATCGGCGACACGTTTCTCAATCTCCCACGGCTTTGTAATAGCCGACAAATCACAGACAGTCATGCTCATGGCACGCAGCAAGGCGCGCGGCTCCTCGGCAACCCAATAGCTCACTGGCTGCTGAACGCTCTCCAAGAAGGGACCACGTTTTCTATTGAAACTTTAAAAGTCAATAAATATTTAGGGAAAAGATGTTCAATGAAGTTACTTGAAGTAGACAGCTAGATCTGTGGATAGAATTGCATCCTCCAGCACGCGTATTACTCGGCAATAATCATCTGAGGACAGATTTGCCAGAATTTGATTTCCGGGACTATTCAAGATCATCAAGCACTGATCGAAGTGATGATGCTCCATGGTTGATGTGGAGTAAAGCTGCGCCAGCGGCGAGGAGGCTCTAAAACGGTGGAAAAGGGAGTTAGTTAGAGGCGCTTTTGCTTAATTATCCTATACTTACTTAATCTGGAAGGAGTTATTAGTCCCCCGATGATCGAGATCGTGGCACAGGCAGCCAATAATCAAAGCGAGGCATTCAATTTCACCAAAGATCTTCCACCATTGTGTGGTCTAAGTTGAGATAGATAAAGATATAACTATATACATGATTGTGAATAATTTCTTACACTCACTGTCAAAATGGCAAACATCATCTGAGCCACATTGAAGGCGTGTCGCCAATTGTGATAGGTTACATTGCGATAGTTCTTCTTGACGCTCAACAGCCAACGGCAGAGCACTTCGTAGTCGATATGGAAACGTTCCACAAAATCGAGATCCAAAAACATGCGCAAACAGGCCTATAATGTAGAGAGTGTGATTAGTAAAGCTTATCGATGTTGATTTATGGACTATAGACAGCTCACCTTCAGCGTATCATCGTCCTCGAAGTGTATATCATCGAATTTAAAATCGTGCAGACGAAAATGTACCGCAGAGGGCACCCTTAGGCGCTACAAGGAAAATAGAATTTAAATGATTAAATGGAAGCTCAATAACTATCGATATATTTATCAACATAATGGAGATTTCAAGAAATAAAACTAAGTTTAGGGAAAGCGCATTTTGGAGCAGAAAAAAAAATAAACAAGGACAAATTTCCTTGGAAAATGTATACAGCATTTCTGTTTCTTCTTAGAACTTAAAAGCTAATCAAAATAAAATTCAAATTAATTTCCTGAATCTTAACAAGAATTTCAATGGGTTTTAAAGGAAATTTTCTTCTTGGAAAACTTTTGAAATCCTGTTTTAAATGGGGATTTAAGGAAATCGGATGCAACCTCCCAGTTCACAAAGCCTTAACAGTTTATCAATTTTATTCTTTGCGCTTTAGTTTTGAACATTTCTTTTAATATAATTTACATTTTTATCCCTTTTTTAAAAATACATTTTAACCCTTCAGCCTTCACTTTTATTTATAGCCCGCGCCTGAGACAAACGGATGCTGAAATACGAACGGAAAAACACACGAAACCGTCTACCCAGCAGCTGTCAGGAAATGTTAATTGATGTCCGCAGTACCACAGTACGAGCTCATGATACACTCCCACACAGACAGACATACACACACACCGGAAATGGCAAAGGAGCAGCGGAAAAGGTTTTTTTTTATCTTTTTCTGTATGCTCCTTGCTTTATAGCATAATCGCAAGAGCTCTGAGTAAAAGCAGCTCAAAGAATGGCATAATTTTAATTAAAATTAATAACCCAGCATCAGCGCCGTCTGCCTGGACCGTTGACAAGGCGACAGGCGGTCATAATTTTAGCCAGCATAATTACTGCAAGTGTTGGGAGCTACATCGGCAACAGGCGAACGAGAAGAGACGCCAACAACACAAAGATAAACAGAGAGACAGATGCGAAAACTTGAAGCATCCCAAGTATATGGGGTTAGGAATGGACTCTGTGCTGGGGCGGGGGGACAGCTCTGTGAGCAGCGAGTGTTGAAGAAGGGACTAGTATAACAAATGCTCTTAGCCAATGTGCGAAAGTTTCTTTTTGTCATACTTGTGCGAACAAACTAATTACAACTGTCAACACGTTGAGTGAGAAAGAGAGACTGAGGAATGGAAAGGGAGGAGAGGGTGGGGGCAGTTAAGTGAGTGACTGCGTAGACAGGTTGTATCTACTGTCGCTGCTGCTGCTGCTGTTGCTGCTGCTGCTGCTACTGTCACGCAAAAATAATAAAAACATGGAAGCAAAAAGCAGAAGGCCAAGCAAAACAAAGAATTTATGGAGTGGCATAAAAATGAGCTCGGCAAACGAGCCAAGTCCTAGAGCTTTACACCAACCATGCCTACCGCCCCACCCATCCCTCATCCCTCATCCAATACAAATTAAGCGTGCACGCAAATAAAATTAAGCATTTAAATGCAGTAGCTGGCCCCCTCGCGGCAGCCACGCCCCCACAAGCCATTGGGCGTACGACACCCAGGGGTAAGATTTGTACTGTCAGCATTGCTGTTGAACTTACGCGCAATCGATGTGCCTCGTCCATGGTCGCAGATGCATGATAGCTGAGCACCTCCAGGGTAACGCTCTGCTTGGCCATGGCCACAATCGCCTTCTCGTACATGTGCGTATTGTGGATGCCCATGCCGCAGAATATGGCGAATGCCTCCACGAAATTCTCATCATTCTTGGTGAAGTCCTAAAAGTAAGAAACAATAATAAACAGAGATCATATAATGGAGATAATAATACGATACGATTCGAATTTGATGTGGAACATAGGGACATTAAACTGGCCCAGTTCATATGTACTGGTTCATAGGAACTGGTTCGCAATGTAACGGTTAGTGGTTAAATGCAACTGATTCATAAAGAACTAAGATAACTATGAACTAGTAACACATTAACTGAAGAAGAACTATTTCCAAATGAGCTAGTTCATTGTTAACTGGTACACGTAAAAGTGGATACAAATTTAGTGTTAATATCTGACTTAAAATGAACAAGTACAACATGATCTGGCCAAAGAGGAACTCACTGCAAATTGTTTAATAAAGAACTGGTTCATTGTTAACTGAATATATGAATATATATGAACAGTTTTACAAAGGAGTGGATAAAAACAAGATGTTAACACCTGGACTAACTTAAAATAAACGGATTCATCGTTAGGTGAGCGAACGGTTTTGTAATTAACTGATTCATATTGAATCTGTTGAATTGAACTGTTAAGGAATTGGCGCACAATGAACATCTGGACAAAAATGACAATAAAAATTTGCGAAATGAACTGATTCAAGAATCAGTTTACAAATTAGCTGGAACACAATGAACTGATTCATAAGGAATCGAAGCACAATGACCTGGTTCACAAAGAACTGATCAACAATGAACTGTTAGCACATTCACTGTTTACAAGTCAACTGGTTAACAAAGAACTAGTTCACAATGGCAACATTTTGAAAAGACTTACCAGATCATTGAACTTATTGATCAGCTGTATAACGCCTATGATCTGACCCAGTGAGTTCTTGATGGCCATGCAGAGTATGGAGCGATGCTTGAAGCTGGAGTTCTCATCGACGCTCGCATCGAAGCGATCATCCTCGTAGGCATTGGGCACATTCACCGTCTCGCCGGTGGTGGCCACATGGCCAGTGATGCCAATGTTGATCGGGAAACGGGACTCGTAGGGGCTGGTGCGCGAATTGGCCTCGTCGTCGCTCAGATCGTTCGCCTCGAAGTCAAAGACACGCGAGAAGCTGCCCTTATCGGCCTCGTGGACGAGCAGGATCTGCACGCGCTGGCACTGGATGAGACTCTGCATGTGAGTGAGGATGCGGAAGACCATGTGCTCGATGGTGCTCTGCTCCTCGAAGATCATGCGCGCCAGATCCAGCAGCACCTGATTTCGCTTGATTTCCAGCTGAGATTTCTCAAAGAGCTGCGCATTGCGCAAGCCAATGCCACAGAACTGCAGATACGAGGCAAAGACCTGAAGCAGAAAAAAGAAAAGAAAAAATAAATAAATATACAAGTATAAGGATTATGATACAGACACACACACACACACATAGACACATTCATCAGTGCGCTGTGGCTGTCGGCTGCAAGGCAAAATCCCAACCTGCCTTTTAGCGGAGATCTGGGATAATCCCTGACATGTGCTGGCATTTTGCAAAAAGCTTCTTGTTCAACAATTTTTCACTTTGTTAAATAATAAATGCAATTTGCATGTGTCAGGCACTGACACTGTGACAGCAGCCACTCTGAAACAAAGGATTCGGTTTGCACTCACCTTCTCATCGATTTCCGTGAAGCATTCGCCATTCATTTTGTTAATCACCTGCGCAACGCCAATCACATCGCCGCCAGAGTCCTTGATGGGCATGCAGAGCAGAGCCTTGGTGCGATAGCCGGTCTGTGAATCAATTTCACAATTGAAGCGTTCATCCTGCAAGGACATGACCATTAAATATAAATATATGTATACACATTTATCTGGTGTGATTTCAGAACGGAGACTAAGAGATTTAAAGTTTTCTTTTGATATGCTTAGATGCATATATTTATTTCAACGGCGAGATTTTGAGTAGAACCAGCGCAGCTGAAGCCATCACCCATCCAGGACATTAGTATTTCATATAAGCTGATGCTAAAAAAGAAAACTCTTTAAGGTTTCTCTTGATAGATTGATTATCGAGTCACAACAAATTGTACTCCGCTAAATCGAAAAAACTGATTCCCCTGCCATTTGGAATTATCGGGACTCGACTGTATATAAATAAGAAAAATAAATATCTATCATGTTTTAACGCAATAATCGGAGATTAAAGTCATGGAGTAGAGCCCGCTGTGGTGAACAATAGTTTTGGGTTTTAAGCTATGGAATCTTTGTTAAGATTCGTGAAAAGCAATCGTATTAATAGCAGACCTGGTTCTATAAATAACTCCATTTGGACAAATGTCTTTATTTATACGCGCGTCTAGACTGTCATCAGAGACTTTCAGCTAGGTGTTGGTATAGCTCTATAGACATATATACATTGTATACATTGATAGATAGCTCTCTTGCCACTTCCATTTGAAGCTGTTAATTCTGTCTGTTTGTCTAGGTCATCATATTTCTGGTCATGTTATTGTCGCTGACTTGCATTTTTGTCGTCTTTTATTCGTGTTCGTACAAACGGTGTCAGCCAGTGTCCGAATAACTGGAGCTGACTTCTCTCACGAATTGCTTCTCTCGGCTGCCGCTAGCAGTTGTGCTCTTCTGAATTCATCAGCAGAGTTATCAGTTTGAGTCCGTCTAACTGCCGATTCAAAGATTCACTTAATTGTGCTAAAATTTTTTGATAAAAGAGCTAACAATCCCATCCCTCGGCTCTCGGCCCTCGTCCAGCGGGACGCCCGGCACATGCGTCATATTTATTGCCAACTGTTTATTGTAGACGATTGTTGGCCATGCCTTAACTTGACTTTAACAGCACAGATAAACGACACGAGTCAGCTATATATGGTGCGGGTGGGGGTTGGTTGTGGGGGGGTCCGGTGGCCAAGGCGTATTATTGTTTGGCGTGCAGCTTAAAGCCTCTTAAAGCAACTGGCGCTGGCTTCTATCAGCAATGATATAATACTATAATAACATTACCTAACACCCACAGCCTTGGACACTACTAGTCTCGTTGGCCACAAGATTAATTACAGCCCAATTGGCCGAGCAACTGAGAGAAATGCACATCGTCAGTGCTCTATATATTATTTTTGCTCTTTTTTTATGTTTTGGTGCGGACGAGTTCAGTGCGCAATATTGAAGCATTACAAGTCAGAAACGGATGTGCTGGACTGGCAAGGTACTCTCTCAACGGAAGTATAGGAAGTATACATTCAAGTTTCTCTCTGACGCATGAATATTATATCTATATTATATTAAAAATTGGCATTTGCTATGCAGAGGAATATACTTAAAATTTCCCTCTAATGAATGAGAGTGAAAGAATGACACAAATCAGCTGCCTAATATAAATATTTTGCCACATAAACATTGACAAATTTAATATCGATACTTATAAATCTTTATAAAATATATTGTGTATTCGATTATAACATTTTGGCTATGCAGCGAAGATTCTCAAAATTCTCTGTACACTAGACTATAGTCCGAACCTTTTTAAAGAAAGTATGTATGATTTTAAGAATGTTTTGTCAATAGTTAGGATCCAATTAGATCCAGAAAGTTTCTCTTTTTAAAGGTAATAAAGCCAGGTTTTCGTCTTATAAAGTCCCCTCCAATACATAGGCACATTTGTGCAAATACAAACACACATACACAGGGTATTTTAAGAAGCATACTAGTGCACATGATCTACTCTATCTCATGTGGCATGTGAATTCGAGCACTGCCTGCACCATAAATCGTGCAAGTCTCGAATTCGCCAGTGTTTCAAGTCCTGTTAGCTTGATTAATGGCCAAAGTACAGATGGCATTCAAATTTGTCAAATCGATGCTAGCTGACAACTGGATGCTGCTCAATGGGGAGGAGGAGGGTGAGGGATTTGGTCTGAAAACTTTCCATTTGGCTTAGCTAGGGAACTGACCTGGTAAGCATCTGGAATGTTGACCGGCTCGCCGCTCTCGGCCACGTGACCAGCGATGCCTGTGCCCCATGCAACGCGCACTTCCTCCTGCTGTTCCATTTCCTCGACGGTGCTGCGTGGGCAGACATCGAACAGCTTCGATACGAGGCATCTGCAAAAGTTTAAAGCACTTTAGTTTCAATAGTTGGCCATTATAATCATACATATAATATATGTTTAAAGTCGCCTCTACCTATATATGTACAGAGTCTAAATAGTACCAAATGTCTTTGGCCCCTCGACAGAATTTACTAAAAATTTTGCAATTAGTTCCGACTACAAAATGGCGCCACACGCCACACACACAGCTCAAAATGGCACCCCAGTGGACTCTAAGTGTGTGTGTTACAGTTATGAAGCCAGCAACTGCAGTGGAGAAATCATAAAATGCCAAAAATAAACGCCATCAAAAATGTTGCCACAGACAAAGTTGAAGCTGCTGCTGCTGCCGCTGCGCAAAAACTTGGCAACGCAATGGCTTTGGGCCAATGAAGTCATCGCCGCTTTGACAGTATCTGATAGAAATAGCACCCCAGCAGCAGTAGAAATAGCAACAGCAATAGCAGTTGCTCTGCCAGTGATGCCAGCGGCTTCACGGGCCAAAGCACTTGCCTGATTACCAAATTCAATTTGCACAGCTATTAGTGTTAAAATTCCTGTAGCCCTCGCTAGCAATGGGTCGAACTGGGAAATAAAACGAGTTCTTTTTATAGTTGCCCAATTTACTAAGTTAGTTTGGCATATTTGAAAGTTAGCTAATTGGTACTTGGCACTGTTTAAGCAAATAACTTCAAAGTCCAATTCCCACGAATTGCCTAAACTGTTCGAGAATCAAAAGGAAGTTGCTCTATAAACTAGTTGAATTGTTTGAAAAATGCATGGAATTCTTATATGAAATATTGAGTTCTGGAAGGTCAAATAAACATACATAATTTACTTGATCTAAGCAACTCTAAAAGAATTTTATAAAAATTGTTCTATTAAAAATAAATATCATATACATTATACAAGAAAATTCGTTTTGTTCGTGAAGCCAATAAATGAAGCTATACAATCTAGATCTTTCTAAATTTAAGCCTTATATCTAATTCATCTCTTATTCCAGTTTCTACTCCATTTCCCCGTTTCTACTTACTTTTTGAGTCCATCGGCACCATGGCAGCGGCCCTGCACCAGGAACAATGAGCCGCGATCCGCATTCAGCAATATGGAAACATTTTGCAGGATCTTGTGACACAAGGTGCGCACCTCCAGCTCGTTGCATATGTCCTTTACCTGCGAGCGAGCATAACACAGAGTACTAATAAATTATAAAATATTTCATAACATGTCACGGAATTATGAGCTAAGTGCGCCATAATGTCAACCAATAAGCTAGGCAATTGCAAATGCACTTAATGTTGTTTCTGGTTAAACAAACAAGCCAATCAGCCAAATACAATAGACGGACTGATTGACGGAATGACTGACTGACTGACCGACCGATTGAGGGCGTGACGTTTGCGACAATTTAGCACAACAAGGTTTGAGTGTGGCTGGGGCCCGGCCTCTTAACTGTTTGCTGATAACGACGTCAGCAAATTCGCTGCATGTGTGCAAAATCAATTGGAGCTAGCTGAGGAAAGGGTTAAATAGAAACTGATTGACTAGCAGTTACCCCGTGCGTGTGTACAAATACAACTAATTATAGCTCAAATATAATATTTATGTGACTAATTATAATTTGACTGGAGTAACTAGCTGACTAATCAAAAAAGCAATGAGCAGGGAGATAGTATGAGAAGAAAGAAAGTTAGAGAGAGGGAGAAAGAAAAAGAGAGAGAGAGAGACAGAGAGAGAGAGGCAATAAAAGAGGAATAATAGGAGAAGGGATAATAAGGAGGGAGGTCAAAATCGAGAGGGTAGACGAAGAATCAAAGAATACATGTGAAATCTGTGGAATCGATGTAGGGATGAGGGACGAGGAGAGAGAAAGAAACGGAGGCATAGAACAGAGAAAAAGAGTTTTTGGAAAAGGAAAGATCATATAACGAGAGAGCAGCGGAGACGAAAACAAGATCGGAATAGAGGGGAAAGGAAGACAGAGAATTTGGGAAGCCAAATGAAAAAAAAAAAGAAATTTTTAAAAGATATAATGAAAGTTATGCGGTTGAACTTGGAAAGCTCACCCAATTATCTCTAATGTACTACGGTATCAATAATTGATATTGATATTTCTGAAGAAAATACTATAATATCAGCTTAATGGTTTTTGGTCAGCTTTTTACTGGAAATACCGAAGTGAATCATAACAGAGTGTCTACCACATTGAAAGTTGAGCCACGTCGAAGACCCTTAGTCAGCAATTAGTAAGTTAACAGGGAAACCGGGCAGGAAGTATTAAGTGTCGCAACATTCATTAGTGCAGGGTATCGAACAACTTACAGCTAAATGACGCACGGCCATCTTAACGAGCTGAAAATTCGATTGAAAAATGCATTTGGGGTTGACTGTGTGTGCGGGTCATAAAGAAATTCCACATTACAACGGGGCGTATGACGCATGTTAATTAAGAAATTTGCACAGCTTTATGGCAGCATTCGAGATGATATAATATTTATATAATTGCATTATATAAATGTAATGTATACTATAAAATGTATATGCATATACATATATTCATAATTAATCGCTTCAATACGCACCAGCTCGAAAATCAGCTCCTTCTCGTCCAGCTGCTTCAGCTCGTTGCGCGATAATCGCTGCGGCCGTTGGAGGCAGAGATGATAGGGATACGAATGCTGATTGCTGCCTGGACTTGCTGCGCTAATTGCTGTTGGGGCATTGCAATTGTTGCTGCCACCACCGGCAGTGCCGCCGCCGCCGCTGCTGCTGCAGCCAACGGCGCCGCCGGCCTGATAATGACTGTGCTGATAATGCTGATGATTGTGATTGTTGTGATGATGATTGTGATGGTGATTATGATGCTGCGGCTGATACTGATACTGTCCGGCCACCACGCCGCCAACGTTCTGCAAATTGCTGCAGCTGCCGCTCGTATTGTCCAGCTGCGGCCCGATGCTCAAAAATGTCAGCGTCCCATCGATGGTATTCACAATGGGCTTGAGTAAGCCGCCGCGCTCGAATTCATGTGCGGAAATTTTGCTGCAAAATGGAAATGAAAATGGATTAGCTCGTTAAAGTTCTTCTTCTTCCTCCTCCTTATCGTTCCACACTTACCGCACGGGCGTTGTGGCGCCGGAGCCGGCACGCGAACTGCTCGCCTGGCCATTGGGATGCGTGGGTGAGCTGCTGCTGATGACATCGTTGCCCGCACTGGTCGCATGCGACACCAGCCACGCGTCCACAGTTTGACGTGTCGCCTTTCTGCAAGAGTGTGGAAGAGAGAGAGAGAGAGAGAGTGAGTGGTGGAGCGAATTCGACTATAATATTTGCTGTTAAACTGCAAATGTATTAAAATTCCATTAAGAATTTAGCGCGCCGACTCTAAAGACACTGACCACATGCGCGAAATTGTCTAATAAAATGTCAGCTCATAAATATTCAGCAAGCGCAAATATTTTTACGTCATGCTGCAGGCTACTCCACGACTAGTCGCAAGGACACATGCGACCAAGCAACACGCGCGAGCGGCATAAAATTTTCGAGAAATCACAGCGCACAACTCTTTATGGGCGAAACAACAGAATTACTGAACTGCACAGTGCCACGAAGCTCAAATGTTTTAGAGCAAAAAATAAAAATTGTTTTTTTTTGTTTTTTGATTTGATTAAAGAAGAGAATAGGAGAACTGAACGGTTTAAATAGATTAGCTTGAAAAACCTAATAATTAAATTTGTCTCATATAAATTCCGTTTCTAATGTGATTTGAATAACGTGCTGTTAGCATTAGCTGTTAACCAAACAGCTGCTGTTGACATTAACATATTTCTGTAGCTGCTGTTGATATTAACATATCTCTGTACAGTATTTAACAGTTTACTGCAGCTGATCGTTTTATAGAAAGTAACACTTCCAAGAGATAAAATTCTGTGAGAAACGTTTTCATCTAATCCAATTGTAAACATGTGCGTGGCAAGCTCTAACTACTTTTGTGGCAGGGATAACAGAGAGTGGACAGAGCGTGCAACTAAATGTCCATGCGCCTGACATATTCTTATGCAAAGTACACAAAATGAAGCCTTTTTCTGGCTCGTTAAACGCTGGCCACATGCCCAAAGGCTGTGAACTGTGTGTAGCGACGACCGGCAACGGCCTCGCCGTCCGTTGGGCATGAAAATAAAGCCCAATTTATGTTTTTAGTTGTTAGTGATTTTTATTATGTGTCATAGCCAAAGGCCAACAAACAGAATGTTGTGCCACACACATGCGCTCGCACATTCATTTGTCTAGGATTTTCGATGTGTGTGTGTGTGTGTGTGAGTGTGTGTGGAAGCCAATTTCCGGTTTACGGCGGAAAAGGCCGGCCTGCCGCTTGACTGCTCATAAATATGGCACAAAGTATGGCATCGCCATCAGCATGCAGAAAGAGCCAACGAAACGAGCACAGGAAGAGGCTCAGGCACATGACAATGCAATTTAAACAATCCTTTGCAGACAGCCCTAAGCCACACATATCGTAACTTCAGATTTTCATGTAATATTTGCCATAATAAAGTTGTGCTTTATGCGATATTAAAAAAAAGTCGATTACAATACATTTGCGCAAAAGCTTTGAGTGGACATGTGGATCAAATGTGCAAATCGAGGTGGAGCAAGTTTATATAAGAAATCGATCTTAAGTCGATGTATAACTGTCGATTATTTCTCGACTGCAAAGTACATCGATTTAATATAAATATCCTGAAATCCATTCAAAGTCTATGTAAATTATAGATTGCTTCTCGGCTGCAATTACAAAGTGATTTTAAATTGTTATAGTGGATCGATAAATACTTTGAAGTATTATGAAGTACATACACACGAAGTAAGCGTTTTACTTAGATCGTAATGCTCAATAAATATTGAGCTAAATATTGTTGAAATCTACATTTGTCATCGATGTTATTATCGAGTTATCGATGATATTAAGTCAGCCCAGTTTTAGCTTAGCTTTGGTGTTTTTTCTTGCCTTACCTTATGAAATAATCCTGTACAAACTCCTGGTTCTCATCCAGCCACGCCTCCATGCGCGCATACTCCGGATCGTAGGGCCGGCTATGCTGTGGCGACGCTGTCTGATGATAGGGATGTGAGTAGCCCTGATAAAGTTGATGTTGCTGCTGTTGCTGTTGCTGCTGGTGCAGCGGCTGCTGATGCTGCTGCTGCTGATAAGCGGCCGCTGTGCTGGCTACGTTGCTGCTGCTGCCGCCGGCGCTGCTGCTGTTGCCGTTGATGTTGCTGCTGCAGTTGTTGCTGTTGCTGTTGCTGTTGCTGCTGCTGCTGTTGTTGTACTGATAGTGGGCGGGTTGTTGCTGTTGCTGTGATAGCGGCAGGGGGACACCGGTGCGGTGTGTGGCAATGAGCAGGCTATGCTCACTCATACCGTACCCTGTGCCCCCCTGCTCCGCGGGCATACGTGCCGCTAGCTGCAGCGGCGTCGACGCTGGCTCCTCAATGCTGCGCAAGTGCAGGCCTGCAAAAAAAAAAAAAAAAAGAAGTGTGAACATTGAATTAAATATTCATTTAAAGCTTTAAAATTATATTGAGTTTTTATTTAAACTTTTGCCGACAGCGCTGACAGTTTTTATGTGCGCGCGCTTCTCCCAATTCGATTGCACGACATTTGCATTGCAAATGGCCAACATATCCTTTAAGCCCGCTGCAAAGTCACGCGCCACACGCGACTCATGGGGTCAGAGAGGAAGCAGGCCAGTAGAACCTCGGAACACCCCCCACTCTCTCCCCCCAAACACACACTCTTTGCAGCTGGCAACCCCATTGGTCCATAGACTCTATGCAAATAGCCGTTGCTTTTTGTTCGCTGTGTTTAAATTTATAATTTGGCACAAAGCGTAAAAAAGTTTGAAGAAAATATTCGTTTTTGCACATAAATTTGGTTAAATTGCTTTTCCAGCTCATCAATTTTTGTGGGCTGCGACAATTAAGCGGCACTTAAAGCGGTCGCCACACGCTGCGTATACGTAATATGTGCTGAAACGAGGAGCAAGAGCAATAGCAAGAAACTGCCAAGTCTCGCGACACAGTTCAAGTGGGCTTCACTTCAAACTGTGCCAAGCTCTCACATTAACCGGAAATATTGGCAATTTTCTGTGAAATATTGGCATACAATGGCAAGCCCCCCCCGTTTGCTGGCCCGTGGGTGCCATTGGGCGCCTGATTAAGTGCTAAAAATAGAAATAAATACTTGTATCCTTGTGATGGATGTCTAAGGATATCAGCGCTACAGTTTTCCATTCAACTGGAAATTGTGACTTCTCAACAGCTGCTTTGTGTGTGCTCGTCGTCTGTCTGCCGGGTTGGCTGTCTTTGTGTGTATATGTGTGTATAAATTTGATTTATGATCTACTTTTTGGCGCACAGCATAGCAACAAAATAAGTCAAACAGCAAACCTCCTCACCCACTCACACACATACGCACACACACTCAAATAAAACGAGTTGCTCCTGTCAACTGATAATTTGACTCTCGGATAAGCTGACAAACTGAGCAGCATTTACAAATTGTTGCCGTTTGCTTGTGCAAACATTCCAGCTAGATTTATGAGTGTCTATTCAATGGATTCCACCCAGCTGCAACAATTGGGGGCATGCAATGCGACAGCTGTGGGACTTGAGCGAACTCGGAACACTTCAAATTTGGAATACAAAATGAGTCGTTCTATGAATTACATTTGTTAGCATTTTAAAAGTCAAATAATAATCTAAATATCAGAAAATTTTAAAATTATATGTATAATACATATATCAGTGAGTGTAAATTATTAAATACGTAAGCCTTTGAGAATGACTACGTAAGTCTTAACATAGATTAACAGGGAGCCTTTAAATCTTAACAGAGAGTCAGCAAGCCGAAGCAGATTATGTGTAAGCTTCAACAATGGCTCTGTTAATCTCAACATAGAGTGAGTAAGACTTCGCAGAGCGTCTGTATTTCTTAACAGAGATTCTGTACACTACAACAGAGAGTCTGTAACTGGAAACAGAAAGAGCGTTAGCATCAACAAACAGTCTGTAAGACTCTGTGCTCTGTAAGTTGTAGCAGTGTATATGTAAGCTTTAACAGACAACGAGTAATTCTTTACATAGCTCTATTGCTGATAACTCAACGTCAATGAGATTATCAAAAAGTATATTGATATTAACATAATTCTATGTATAATAAATTAATCGCATTTGTCCATCATGTCCTGTCGTTACTAGCCTAACAGCAATCACATTCATTTACCTGTGCATTGCCTGTGTATCCTATTGTGCTTTAAGGTAAAGCCGATTCAGTTAAATTCACTGAGTCATAATAAAATCGATTATAGTATTAACACAATTTATTGAAATTAATTAATATTAATATTTCCACCATGTAAATAAAACGAAATATGCTATTTATATTTTAATGAAAGGACAATCCGTATTGATTTTACTGACTTCATAAGAATACATGTGGCAAATGTTGACACATTTTAATTTTTTTTACATTTTAATGAAATATTTTATTTACACTCGTATGTCAACAATTTTTATTTGCTTAAATAAATTGCTTATTTCATTTGACTATAAAGCTCAAAAATATTTGCTTTTGTTTATTTTTTGTTTTCCTTTTTTTTCAATTTCTGTGAATGCAATTTCATAGAATTTGGTTTCATTTGAACACACGCTGAGTTTTTCATTTACCATAAATCGTGAATCTTCAGTTATATTTGCTTGACGGGGTATTTTTGTGTCCCATTGCTGGTAATCTGCAAAGTTTTTGTTGGAATTTTGCACTTGGTTTCCTTTTCTCGAATATACATATATATAGAAGCTTAAAGTCGGCTACTTAGTATTGAGAAATTTATGAGCATCCACTGGAGAGTTGGGTGCAATGGCGGTGGGGTGGGGTGGCCARAGAGACATGAACAAGTGCTGCACTTACATGCCACATGCACGTGCCCGCTCCGCCTCGCCCTCTCTGCTCTCGCCCATCATCTCATGGCACATTTAATCTTTTAAGCTGCATTTGCCTTGCACAGGCAACATGCAACATGCTTAAGCTGCTGCAACACATTTGGCACTACACAGAGTCCCTTCTCTGTGCCTTCTCTTCTCACTTTGTCCACCTCTTTGCCCACTCAAAGTCAAATGACAGCGTCATGGCTGAGTGGGCGTTGCCACGCCCCCAACTACAGCAACAACACGAATACTAACACTCCTCCCTCCCCATCCGCACTCGCATTGGCACTCTCTGTTGCGGTTTGACGATGCGTCAGCTTTATGTAAGACACATCCATACCAGGTCCCAGGCCCCAATCCCCAGTCCTCAATCCCCAATCCTCCTCACTGCTCATGCCTAGAGCCTTACGCTGCAATGGAATTCAGCTTTTAGCAGCAGCGAAGAGAAAAATACCTCACTCGAACCTGCACGACTAAGCGTTACATATGGCGAGCTTGGGAGAGGTTGATCGAATATTAGCAGAGATATAATTATGTTGTTATAGAAGAAGAACTATCAGAAATCATATCATAATAAAATATTCTGTTAAATTACATTTTCTGCGAAATGGAAATTTCTGTTAAATTACATTTTCGGTTACGAGTTATCCAAATGTAGTCTTGAAGTTGAGTCAAAATATATGTTGAAATTTATACTAGACTTCCATTAGTTTTCATGTCAAGCTGTTAAATTTTTTTAATATTATATCCTTAACATGAAGCCTTATAATTTAACACATAAATTGCATATATAAATATAGGATTGCCTTGCTTAACTGGTATATTAACTTTGTGAAGCCTTACGAAAAACCCTCAAAAAAGAGGTCAATAGCAGCCAGAACAATATCATGTAGCTCTTTAATTTCCCATTTCCGGTGCTTAAATATTTATCTTGTTCACACAATTGTTTTAGAACTACAAACTACATATACCCTCCCTTTCTTACATTCAATTTGCAGGGTATATGTGATATACACACAAATATACACATGTTAAGTGTTTGGTTTTTGTAGTTGAAGCCAAATGCAAATTGAAAGTTGGCAAATGTGCAAAAGAAAAGCATTTTTTTCTTTCTCTCTCTCTCTCTCTCTCGGTCTTCCTCACTGTCTCACTGCCCCGCTCTCATGCTTGCTTTTCTTTAGCATTCTAGATGTTGGGTTAGTGCTGCGAGGGCAATGGATCGATGGGGCAGAGACAAGTTTTGGCCCAACATTGTTGTTCGTGTGTGACAAAATATTTAGTGCGAATTGTAACGCAGTCAAGTTTCTATTTAACGTGAAGTCATCTTGAGTTCAGTTTTTTCTTCTTTTTTTTCTCACCTGTTGTCTCCAGCTGCTGATAGTGTTGTTGTTGTTGCGGACTATGAGTCGGCGTTGCTTGTTGCTGCTGTTGCTGCTGCTGTTGTTGTTGTTGTTGTTGTTGTTGTTGTTGTTGTTTGCTGTTCTTGCTCTTGTTTTTGTAGCGACAACCACGAAATCGACACATACTTGCCGCTTGGCCCATGGGGCCCGCCAGCAATGCGAATGTTAAACCCTCCGTTTTAATGAATTTAATTTTCTCAACTTTGAGCAGAGCTGCCGCGTAACGTAAATTGTATCTCGAATTGTTATTGTTGTTTTGTTTAGTTGTTGTTGAGGACTCAATTTTGTTGGCTTTAGTGTGGCCAAAGGGCCGCTCCGTGGACTCTTGTCAAATTTTGTTAGATTTTGTTGACTTTGGTATTGTTTATTGTTTATCTTGTTGCTCCCGCTGCTGTTGTTGTTGTTCTTGCTGTTGTTTTTATTTCTGTTTGGTTTTGCACTTTGTTGCACTTGCATAATAAATTTGTTTATATTATTTATGACAAGTTTTGTACTTATGAAAATAGTTTGATATTAAAGGGCTCGAACTGTAGCTTTGTTTTGCGACACTTTCAAGACCTGTTGGCAATTGGTTTTTGTATTTATATTATATTATATTGAATACGGAAAAGCTGTCTCCACTTCGCTTTGTACACAGCTCTATATATATATGGTGTACATATTTTTATACAACACTTCCTGCTGCATTTTACATTTTGCGGCTTTTGACTTGGAGCAATTCAATTAGCACTTAAGCCGCAACCCAAATGCAACGCAGACACCGACGCCAATTGATAAACAAACAAAGGCCAAAAAGGTCCCCCAGCAACCAGCTAACAGTGCCCCGCAGCAGGTGAGGTGGGCGCTGCGTGGGCGGTTCGACACGACTGACAGACAGACAATGCAGCCCACGTGAAGGCAAGCACCAAAATGTCAGTTGAATAAAATCAACATGGCTCGAACCACATAACCAAATGCATCCCAAATACATTGGAGTAAAAAGAGAGAGGCGCATAAAGAAGTAGACTTTGGAATACGCTTTAAAGTATGTCGATGTAGGTGAGATAAAAAGTAAATTAAATACGTGCAAAATAAAAATAAACGAATGAGAATGTTATTATTATTATTTTTTCAAATGAAAATAAAAATTCCACCTCTGATATAAATTCTTTTATATCACGAATATATACAATTAAAATCTCTTTATTGACAAGCATATATTTTCTTAACTTCATATAGAAAGTGATAAAAGCATTTAGCAGGAATGAAACCTTTAAACGAAAGTATAATATATTTATAATAATTTATATTTTTTTAAATAAAATGTGTTCTCAAAATTCTTCATTTTTTTTCCACAAGTTCAATTCTTTTCCACTCCCATTTGATACCCTTTGTTTACAGGATGCATAAGCATATATGAAAAAAATACTTTCATGAAAATTGGTTTGGTTAGAATTGGGTTTCGGTTGCGGTTTCGTGTTCGGTTAAGTTGGGTTCGTTCTGAATCTGTTTGCATTTGACGGCCAACAACCAAAAAACGAGAACCAGTCAAAAGTAGAGGCACTTCTGCATTCATTCACTCACACAGTCAGTCGGCCACTCACTCAGTCAGTCAGTCAGCCAATATAGCTGTGTCTAGTATATTGACAATTGAGTATTGAATTAACGGCAACTATTGGCTGGCACTCTCGAAGTGAAGAGATCTTCAGTGCAGTGATTTAATTTCAGCTGCTGCTGCCAGCTGTTGCATCACTTGTTGGCAGCCCGTTGAGAAGTTGACAGCGGAAATGATTTAATTTCCGTTTTACTGCAGCATCAGCAGAAGCAGTCGTGGCAGCAGCAGCACCACCACCAGCACCACCAGTTGTTGTCGGCAACAATAGACATCAGTGGGGCATGTGGCGTGTGGCATGTGGCAAGTGGCTGGCAAAAGGATTGTTGCAACACTCGCACATTTCACCATTGTTAGCCCAACTATTGATGTTGATTCTGGCTGATTGCTAAATTGCAATGAGCAGCCATTGCTCCATTTGTAATCCGAGTTGATTGTCTGTATTTCAAATGCGGTTTGAAATGCTGACTGCCGCCGTTGCTGCCACAAGGCGGAATAAGGGTAAATAATTTTAATGGAATTCTGTTAAAGCCATCAAAAGTGAGAAGGCATTACAATCAGCGAATAATAGCAAAGTCTAGAAAATGAAAGTAATATACTGCTGATGGCAGCCAGGAGATGTTGAAAATAACGAACTGAAAATTGAAAAGGAATTAATGGAAGATAGTAAAGACTCATATAGATTGGGAGAAGACGGAAGATAGAAAATGTAAGACCAAGGACATAAAGTAGAAGAGATAGCAGTTGGAAATTCGAATTAGAAAGGTGATTATGGAAATAAGATAGATAATTGCTGTATGAAGAAAATAGAATAAAATTACTCAAATCAATAAACTCATAACACCTGAAAATAACTTAAGCAAACTGATAATTTAATCAACAACATGCAATGGCATAAAAGTCCGAGCATTTTCTTTTAAAGTTCTCAAAGCTGTGCAGCAGAGAAAAATGCCTCAACAGATATGAAAAATAGTTTTTCGCAGCGCTGCGTTAAATAGCCGAAGGCGAGCTGAAACTTTTTTTGCGGCCAACTATTCGCAACTGAATAACTTTAAGAACTATTTGATGTAGACGGTGCCAGCGGCCATTAAACACAAATACAAACGCCAACATCGAAAGGGTAAAAAATAAAGTTGCCATAAAAGAAGGGAACGAAACTAATCAATTAGTTAACGACTAAGACTGTGACTATGACTATGACTACTACTATAACTATGACAACGACTATGATTGGCGAATGAATTTTTGTATTTGAATTTGCAGCAATTTGCAGTTTATTGCCACATTGCTCATACGCACCGCAGTCGTCTATTAAAATTGTGCTCTGTCCTAAACGATTTGCATCTATTTTTTGCCACAGTATCTCACTGTATCTCTGTTTGGTATTCTTGGTACTCGTATCTACCCCTAGCAACCGGTGGGTAACCACAGCAGCGACAGCTACGAAAAAACAAAAACCATTCACACACAGACAAGCCACGAAAACTATTTTTATGCCAATGGCGACAACCGCAGAACGTCACACAGACACTGAAATACATAAAAGTATGTACCCCATGCACACACACACACACACACACATACATAGAAAATAGTGAGAATGGGTCGGTCGCTTACATTATGTCAATAGCATAGGTAAAAGCAATTGTGGACAGTGTGGGACAAGGCGAAGGGGTTGGGTCTACGGCGACTGTCCGGCTGTCCATGTCTGGCTAAGCAAACGATGTTCATTAATGGCGCACGCCAGAGTTTTTGCGAACGGCCAGCTAAGATAACAGATAACCAATGCTACACTGAGCGAAAAGTGACACTAAATGTGTCAAGTAAAGCAAACAATCTTTACGGGCTGGCTAGTTGGGGTTAGTTAGCTAGTGGGGCTATTATTTTGTACAGTGTATACATAGTAACCAGAGCTTTTACATGGCATTCAATGGGTCGACCTTTTCATTTTCTTTATTCATTCATTTCATTTCATTTGAGTCCTCTTCTCTTCTCTTCTTTGTGTGGCAATGCAAACAGACGACAATGTCTACACACAGACACTGTGCAAAAATTTCTATGTGTGTGTGTGGGCGTAAGTGTCATTAGGCGGCGGCGACAAACGCGTCACGAACTTGAGCATCGATTAGTGAAGGACGGAGAACTCGGCGAGTGGCCCTCACCAGAGCCTGGATACCATTTGCATTCACAAATGTTCGAGTGTTGAATCAATAACCTGTTGCCGGCTTGTACAGTTGGCTATGACTATATTTTGTTATCATTGTTGTGAGTGAAACACATTTTTATTAATTTTTTATTTATTTTATTTTATTTTATTTTTTTTTTTGGGCTCAGCTTTGGCGGCGCGTCGTAAGCGTGATATGGTAGCAGCTTTGGCGTGGACTTTTAGCGCCAGCCTGCGAATTATCAATTTGTAGCTAAAGAATTTTGATGCATAAATTATAATAATAAAATATCTACTAGTGCGAGAACAGATGTGAAAAGTTACAGATCTGTACACATATATGTACATGTGAGAAACGCACACATAACCAGCTGGAGTCAGGTTAAGCAGCATCCGAATTGAGCTGCTGCCTTTAATGATAATAATTGTGTAAATAAACAATAAATCTCATTATCACATTTCGCTGCTCGTGCATTCAATTATTATCACAACAAGCAACAGCAACAGCAGCAGCTGAGCCCCAGCATCAAATACAACAAAACCCGTCTGGCAAAATGACAAGAGGACATAAAACTTGTGAATAATAATAAAAGAAATATCAAATGAGTGTTGAGGAATTTGCCAAAGTGAAAATACTCTAACTATCGAAAAGGGTCAACTAGACGATACAATTGAGCATGTGAAAGAGATTTAATTTTTTCACTGAACTCCAATTGTTAAACAAATATTGGCACACACAAAAATGTTTAATGTGAATAATTAAAGTAATTAAATTAAAATATTTCTTTATTTATGCTAATTTGGCATATCAGAAGCTTTATTTATTAATGATTATATATTCGCCCGCTTTAAGATAATACGTATGCCATAACCGGAATTTACTATTATTTAATCTTTTGAAGTTACTGCGAATAATAATAATGTGTGCATATTTATTCTATTATATGCAAAAAAAAAAAAAAATCTTTTTTTATATAGAGCTGAATTTAAAGAAAACACATATTTTATTTTGTCAAAATACTTTTGATGAATATCTTGTTGCTTGAATATCAAATGATATTCTGAAACGACTCTATAGGAGGAGCATAGAGCACGACCCTCCCTGCTTGGAAATAGGTAATGATTCCTAAGTTAGCTGTTTAAGGCAAAGCAAAAAAAGCGAATTATGATTTTGGAATACGTAAGGTTCTATAAAATTATTATCCCACAACATGCTCGATGTATTTATATATACAATACTTAGCCAAACACAATCGTATTTCTAACCGCTTGACATATGCATAATACCCTTAGACAGTATACAAAAATATATTAGGGCCATGGGCAAAACAAAAGCCAAAACTCTGGCAATCAAAGACAGACGCCGCAGCCCGGGTAAACATCTTGATTAAAATGGCTCTTATCAAAAATTGCAGCAGACAGCGAAAGCTCCGCCTTTGTCAGTCTCAAGCCCTCACACGACCACACTCTTTCGCCCTTATACCCCTAGACTCATCCACACACTCTTTTTCTCTTTTTACTTCTAACATTTTTCACAGATATGATAATTATTTAGTGATTTATTTATT